CAGGTGAGAGATTGCTTGATTTCTGCTAAGAAAATCATATGATCATCACCAATACATGTTTTTAACAACCGAAACGACGACTATACACATGGACAACACCAAATGGACAATATCGAAATCAAATTGATTATATTCTCTGCAATAGACGATGGAAAAGCTCAATAACATCAATCAAAATACGACCAGGAGCTGACTGCAGCACTGACCACGAACTCTTGTTAGCGTGTTTTCGAATCAAGCTCAAACAACATCACAAATCAACACAAACAGCAAAACCCGATCTACAAAACATTCCGTACAAATACAAGGTAGAAGTAAAAAACAGATTCGACGCGCTCAATCTAATCGACAAAGAACCTGAAAAATTATGGCAAGAAATACGCGACATAATCAACGACGAAACGAAAAGAAATATACCGACAATCCCAAAGAAGAAGAAAAACAACTGAATATCGTCAAGCACTTTAGAAATCGCAAAGAAAAGACGAGAAGCTAAAGCAAATGGAAACAGACAAGCCTTCACAAAACTTAACGCTGACTTTCAACGTGCAGCAAGAAAAGACAAAGAAAAACAAATTATGCAAGAATGTGGAAAAGTAGAAGAATACAACAAGAAAGATATGACAAGAGGTTTATTCAAGAAGATAAAATACTTCCGTGGACAATTTATACCCAGAAATGGCACCTTAACAGATCAAAATAGTAAACATTTAACAAATGGTGATGAAATCAAAAACAAATGGAAACAATACACCGAGGAACTATACAAGAAAGAAATCAATGGTACAGGAAATTTGGAACTCGATGATTATGAACTGGAATCAGATATTTTGGAAAACGAAGTTAAATTCGCCATGGAAACATTAGCAAATGGAAAAGCACCTGGACATGATGGTATTACAATTGAATGTTTCAAGACAATTAAAGAAGATGCAGTGAGAATATTAACAAAATTATGCCAACAAATATGGAAAACACAAAAATGGCCTCAAGACTGGAAAACATCGATATTCATTCCCTTACCGAAGAATGGAAATGTCAAAGATTGCTCAAATTACCGAACAATCGCTCTCATCTCATATGCCAGCAAGATCATGTTGAAGATTATACAACGACGATTGGAACCATTTCTCGAACGAGAAATGCCAGCCACACAAGCAGGATTTAGAAAAAGAAGAGGAACACGCGACCAAATAGCAAATCTACGGTGGTTGATGGAAAAAGCTCGTGAATACCAAAAAGAGTTTTACTTATGCTTTATCGACTATAGTAAAGCTTTCGACTGTGTAGATCACGAGAAACTCTGGTCTGTACTACTGGAAATGGGTGTACCAAAGCATTTGATTATCCTATGAAGAACTTATACACCAATCAACAAGCATCGGTGAAAACGGATT